GGGGGGAGGGGGGGAAGACTCCTATATAAAAATGACAGGGGCTGCTCGTCAGAAATTTTGAAAAAAACTCCTAAAAGATACCAAGATCCTGTTTTGTGGATGTGGCTTGAAATTTTTTGGGTCTCAAGAGGTACCAATTCTAAAACAACAAATAATCTCATGTGATATTTTTTCAGCTCAATACCCTAAGAAGTACCGCAAAAGTTCCCGCTGTGGACCTTTCAAGACTGAACACCCTAAGAGGTATCAAAACCGATTTTTTTAGCCCCTAAAAGGTGGCCTGCAGAACAGGCAGATTAGCAGAGCAGACTGCCAAGTGTGATTCACACGCAAGTGGTTCTGCTCCGCATTCAAGTATCGGGTTTCATGCTCTGTCCTGCTAATCTGCCTGTTCTGCAGGCTACTAAAAGGTACAAAAAGTACCCCTGTCCTTTTAAAATAGGAGTCCCCCCCATCCCCGGGGTTACCCCTAAGCATTTTGTCAGGTTGCCTCAACAATTTGTCTCACTCAAAAACACAACACAATGACCCTGGCCAGGTCAAGTCTGGACTGCTTGATCCGGAGTCCGGCACACCAACCACTGATTACCAGTTTATAGTACAACATACATGTATATTCTCATATTCCCCATGCCTCTTGATGCTGGAAGTCTTGTCAAAGTTGTGCTTTTAAGTGAAGTTCAAAAAAGAAATTTTTATATATTGGAATATTATGATAACTTTCTCACTCCGTAGTAAGGGTTGTGTAAATCTTTAAGACCTGGGTATTTTTTAAATTGTTTTCAAAATTCTTGACAATTAGCTTTCTACATTGTACTTACTGTCAGGAAAAAAGAAATGTATTTCTCGTTCTGCACTGGAATAACTGTCACTTCCATGAAGAGCATTTTTAGTGCTGTCTGTACCATAGATTGCTCTTAGACTGAAAGCAGAAGTTGTCAAGTATTGAGCCTTACTTATCTTAAGTTGTATAAGAAATATTCTCTACTAAAAATAATGAAATCAAACAAAAAATACTTCCAGCAGATAACCCTTAAAACGGTGCTCATGCATGTGCACAAACCTTTATGTATTTTTTGACTTACTTTGTTCCACGTCTATTTTTTATGCATTATAATTCTTATGTTTATTGTAATTGCTATTATTAATATTGGCTCTGTAAAGAAGACAATGATACTCTAAAGTTTCAGGGAATACCCATAGCCAGCTGTCCATCCCAGCTGGTTGAAAGTTTGGCTACATTTAATACCAAGTCAGCTGTAAGATCTAATGGCACCTTTATGCCAGCACCAGCACCAACGACAATGCCAATGGTACTGTATTGCCACAGGATATCTGCGATGGCTTGAACCCAACTAGATACTGTAACTACATGCGAGCCTTCATTGACTAAACCTAGTGCTATTTTTGTTTTTTAAGTTTAAAAAATCCAGACATTCACATTGACATAATTAGTACCTACAGGTAGTTTTGAATTACTGCTTGTGCATGCATGCAGTAATTCTACTTTTAAGTTGAACATGCTATTGCTATAACCATTAAACAACCACTCTTCCCAAAAATTATACCAATCACAAAGGTCAGATTAGTAAAAACAATTTAAACATGTTACTATTCAAGGTTAATTACCTTTCTGGTGCCTGATCTCTTGCCTTTTGTGTGTTTGTTGGTCCAATCAACTGTCTCCAGTATGAAATAGCTGACTGCCTTGCTAACACAATTGCTAAGATTGGTCCATTGCTCATGTAGGCCACAAGACTTGGAAAGAACATCTTACCATAGTGTTCAGCATAAAAATCACTTGTCTGTTCTGGTGTCATGTGAACTCTTCTTTTCTGTTCAGGGCCAAAAGAATATAATCTTGTGTGATTATAATTTATAGCATAGCCATTCGATAAGTTACATGCTTATACTGTATATTCAGTGGCAGATCCAGACCTTAGCTAAGGGGAGGGGGGAGGGGGCTGCTTGCCCTGCCAGCTTTTCTTCCTTCTGTGACTTTTTTTACCCTAAATAAAGGAGTGCCCGGGCCCTCCGAGATCCCTCCCCTAAATCCGCCACTGATATTGTTATCAGTGAAGTCACACTGCTGAAAAGTAACTTGCCAGAATATTTTGTTCCCTCTTGATACAAGCCTTGATTCTTGAGGCAATTATAAATTGTTTCTTAGGAACCAAGTCTAACAAACAACTGAGATTCTCAAAAGAGCAAGCTTTTTTTTATTTCTGGATAGTGACTGGCCACTTGCAACTGAAAATCCCACACAACAGAGGTGCATTTCTAAAACATGATATATATTATGAAACAAAGACTAATTCTTGAAGCTTGGCATTCTGTGCGAGACAGGAACGCTATAAACGAACACA